GGCCACACCATTTCTGATACAGGCCAGGATGCCGTTGGCCTTCTTGGCCACCTGGGCACACTGCTCGCTCATATTCATATTGGCGTAATCCAGTCCTATCCCATCCTGAGTCGCAAAACTGGAATGTGCGCTAATTAAAAAGGTGGTTGTGAGGGAGCGCGTTTTATCCTTACAGAGCAGCGGTAGTTTGTGTGAGCGCCGGCCCCCCTCACACAGCAGTGCTCGAGGGGGCTTCCGAGGCTGGTCATGGCAGACTACGTGGGGCTGAAGCAACGGCGAGTGTAAGGCAGATCGGTAACAAAAAGTCACATCAGGAAAAAAAAAGAAAGAAGGGGGTGTTATCTTGAAGTACAGCCGGGTGGATAAGGACAAACTGAAAGATGCTGCAAGAGGGATAACTGATGACCTGTTTCTTCCTTTTTTTTTTTTCCCTCCCACTTCCTCAGCAAAGAGTACTAGCACAACCTCCTACGAGGATGGGAAAAGCGGGAAGTTCTCTGTTGTTGGCTTCCTCCATTACCTTACAGTTCCCTGTAATACTAAAAGAAGTAAGATCTGTGATGACGTTCTCTACAATGGTAATCGGCATACACTGTAACTAGGCACAATTTCCAGTGAAAGATACTTGACAATGATTCTGCTGACCCTATAGCCGTTCCTAAGGCAGAAGGCTGACTACATCACCTACCCTGAGGGGCAGCCCCAGTTTTGCAGGAAAACTGCCTGATCTTGCTCAATGGGTCAGAGATTTGTACTTTCTACTACTCAGGGCAGTGCTTAGATACCTTAGGACTCCAAAATGCTCAACCTTTCTCAATCAAACTTTACCCTTGCTAACTTGAAATCCCTGAATTTCAGTGACAAAGACAATTTTCATCAACACAAAGAGCCATAAAGAAGCATGAAAGTTGTGACCTGGTGCATGAGCCATCAGTGTTAACCTGGTTCAATTGCTCGGTGCATGCAAAGTGGTTTAAACACATCTATCACAGGACCTTCCACTTGCAGAACAGTGGAAGCCTGTCCTACAGACTGTGCTGGATGTCTGGCTTTTCCTTTCTTTATATATATTATATACTGGAATTGTTATATTTTATGAAGAAAGCTAGAATTTGTGAATTTTATTCAAGAACTTTTATTAAATTGAAATGCAAACACCATTGCAAAGAGATTTTACAATGACAAAAGACTGAAAAGTCCATCAGAAAGCTACAGACTTCAGAACAATATTGATCTTACAAGTGAAATCACTAACAGATTTTATTAAAGCCAGTATTTTCAATATTAAGAACTTAAAAAATACATTTTAAAGCATTTTCCTTCAGATACACTTAGAAACAATGAAGAATTCCTGAGCAACTACTTTTATACCAGTATTCTCCAACCAATGTACATACTGCATATGAAATCTACTTCCTATAATTTCTTGAGTTTGAGAAATTTACAAAACATTTGGATCTGGTTCATAGAATAATTGTGCTTCAAGTCACTCTGTTGCTACAGTAATGACACTATAATAACTTGGATGTTCCAGATTGCATACAAATTCTGAAACTGTAATGGAAAAAATGCCTACCTTGTATTGCAAGGCTAGCAATGAAATGGTTTACGCAAATGGAAATAGGTTTGCTTTAAATATTGGATCATCTCTTTCTCTGCTGGGAAGCATACTGTTTATTCTGCATATTATTCAGAACATGCAATTTAATTTATAAATATGTTTCTTTGAGAGACCTGCTGGCACAATTAAAGGCAAGGAAGTTCCAGAAACTTTTACCTGCACTTAAAAGCATGGCAGAAATTTGCACAAATACTATTAGTTAATGACTGCTGACATGTTTTTCTGGGCAGTATTTTTTTGGACCAGTACCCTCAGTATTGCTATATTTTATACAATGACTTAAAAAAAAATATGAAACACAATATAAAGATTTCAGAAGCCCAGATAGTGCTGAGTATCTCTGAGCAACATAATGGATATATGGAACTGATGATTGTGTTAATCTAAATGATGAATGGTATTTGTAGTCAGAATAAAAAAATTACTTTCCAAGATGAAAAATAAACAACACTAGAGCAGCCTAGGAACTCTTTCTGGGTATAGCTGAGCAGCAGTTTTCTCCTTCTTTTAGAATGAAGGACACAGGGATGAGAATTAAGAGTAGTCTACAGCATTATGAATATTAAAAATTATTATTTGACATCATTATATTTCTGCATGTATTCCACATGTAGAAAGATCTGCCTCTTCCTAGACAGGTATAATTTTCTGTCCTACTGAAGGGGTATTTTCTACAAGTTACTTCTACAAAGATTTCCAGCATCCTGTAAAAAATTTACTCAGTGCCACATGTCTGTGAAACTGACCATTGCAGTCTTTATAGGAACCAAAGTGAAATCTTTCTGGTTTTACTGATGTCAAAATGAGGTGAAGTTACTCAGCAGTGCACAAAAACAGACCAAAAAGCAGCATTGTCCAAAAAAAAAAAAAAGTTAAATAAAGACAAGGTCCAAGAGAAGCAGCATCACAAAGTAGAGCAGGACATTAAACCTTCCAAAAAGAAAAGAGGAAGATGTAAAAAAAGACTTCCTTACATCTAACTGCTCTATGCACCAACATCTTGAGCATAAGCGCAGATTTTAGCATATCAGCACTGCAAGAGGCCACACAACTACTTCAGGTATTTTGCTTACTTACTTTTGACAGATATAATAGTTTACCTTAAAAACTTAGCTTAAATGCGAGAGATGTATTTTAAGCCTGACTTGGTAATTTCCAAAATTTTTCACAAAGACAGGGACTTTCTGATTAAGGAAAATGTCGACAGATACGTTGCCACAGGTACAAACTAAACAATGCCCAGAAATGCCAAGAGACCATTTAGTAGTATCCACAAAGTCTTTTTTCTCTTGGAGCTTCTAGGTCATTACATTATCTTTAATAAATAAAAAATAGAAGAATGCTTAAGAATGATAGGCATATGGGTGAGACAATGTAAATGTGTAAATGCACTTCATCTGTAGATCTGTCTGAAAAGTTGAAGGTTGCTTTTAAAAACAGTGTGGTACACTTCATTTCCCTTGATTTTTTTTCCTTGGGAATATAGGAAATGCAACAGCAGATCAGATGAGGGGTCTAGCTCTTCAAGTATTCTGTTTGCCCAGGACCAGTGTCAGGTACGTGGAAGAAAATCCTGTAACTGAAGGTGAATGACGACTTCTCATGCGTAGGACTTCTTTTTCCTCTTGTATAAAATAGCTGATACACAGTAGACGATTTCAGTGTTTTGCCAACTATTTAGCATTTAATAAGGCTTTACTACTTTAGTAGACTATTTCAGTTGTGCATATTCCCACTTTTGATATAAAAGTATTTTCTTCTCTTCCTTTTTTTCTCACAAACTCATTTATCACTCCTCTCAGTTCTACTAGTTCTAATTTTTTCCTATCTGCTCTTACATTTGATTCTTTTGCTTTTCTGTTCTCCATCCCTCTCTTCTCAGCTGTAGTCAAAATGTATGTTTACCCCCTCTGATTTCTCTAATTATCTACCTATGTACCATCCTTTAGTGACTGTACTCCTCTTCCATTATGACACGTGCAGCAACTGTGTCCCTCTTCCCATCATTAAACTCTCTTTCTATCCCCATATATTATGTATTTCTGTATTCCATTTATCTTTCATCTCCTGCTTAACATACACGGGAAAGATGAAGAAATTCCCTTGTTTGAAAATGGTTTTCAAGGCAGGGCTACAAGAGGGTTAATGTAATTCAGTCCATCTTTCCACACCCACAGGAACTGGAGTCTGGATTTAGTATGAAGGTTTCAGACAGTTGAGGGCAGTGCCAGTCTCCATTTTCACTCGTTTAGGGACAGAGTTTGAAGATTTACTTCTCAGGAACTTAGCTGAAAACAGGTCTTTCTAAATAGCAAGTATTGCTAAATGCTTAGTTCCTTTGCTGAGATCCAGAATTAGAGCATCTCTGACAACTCAGCTCATTCAGTCCTAGCGAGCTGGGCACACAGGCAGTGGCAAAAAACTTTTCAGCCCAGGAAAGGGACTGGTGCTTGGCTGCCATACTTGGTCAGTATGGCTTTCTCTACAAAATGGAAAATTCTCTGGCATTTTCTCATATTAAAAACGTTTCATTTTGCTACACATTTCAAATATCCCACCCTAGTACTACCAGAGCAACACAAGTGATGATTCCATGACAAGCTGTTAGTTAACAAAAGTAATTTGAACATTACCAATAAGATTTTTTTAATCTTGATAGAATGATTCACAATTTGACACACAAAGTAAAATGCTTTCATCTGCCTTTTTAAAGGGAGCAAAAAAAATAATCTGAGGTAGCAGTTCTTTGAGAATATGATGCCTGATCTCATGACACTTTTTCATTTCATTTGTCTTTATGGCTTTGTGAAAGATGTCTAATATCTGTCAACTGGCTTAGATGACTTTGGTTTCCTTGCACAACACCTTCAAATTGTTTACAGTTAGTGAAAAATTATGAAATACATTTACAGGCTTCATGATGTGAACCCCACATATACAATACTTCAGAGATCACAAAAAAATTCCACTTCTTCATTTTGAACACCTGCTGCTACTACAATACTTAAATGACATTTAAAACAACTGTATATTTTCCAGCCATTTAAACATAGTCACATAAACAGATATACCACAGAACTCACTGCTTTAACATAAATCAATTATTATTACATATTTGTTTTACAGTTTGTTCCATAAACACATATATCCTCTTACTAGTATCATGTAAGGTCAGTTTACTGCATTTTTATTAAATAATCTTTGTAGTTACATAGTATCATCAAGACCATTCTTCAAGCCTGCATTTTATGTGACAGTGAGTTTTGGGAGCACATGTCCCACTTCAATAAATCGTATTTCTTTAAAAGTCAGGAATATTACACTGAAATACTAAAACTGTACATCAAATATGTCTTTGCTAATGAAAAAAGTCTAATTAGAAAATTTAAGATAGTGGGTTGTATTTGTCAGTACTGAAGAAAAACTGTTAATCAAATTAGTCTGAGTCCAAAGGAAAGGTATTTTATTAAAATACATATTTTTATTCTATGAATTTTATAAAATTAATTACTTCTGAGGAGCCTTTATGCTTCCTTTTAGGGCTTTTATGCTACTAAAAAGTAATTCACACTTCAAGTGACACATGCATAAATTGATATTGAAAACATTCAAACTTTTCAAATAATTATTCCAAGTGAGAAATTTGACTAATGGTGCAAGAGCTAGACGGCTAATCCCTGTTCCTGGGGTAAATTCTGTTACGTACTTCATCCCTCTGTATATCAAAGGAGGTGTTAAGAGCCTGTTATTCCCCACTGGCATGTCATAATTTTACAACAATCAACTGTGTAAAACTGCTGCAAAATCTCATCTATTTCCTAATAAACAGCTACTCCTTAAAGTGCTGCAAGGAAAAATGTTGTTGCAAACAGAAAGAATGAAGCATTTGAACATCCAAAGGCCCACACACTTAGCTGAAGGTTATTCTGATTTTACAGAACACTAGTTTATTCTCTTCTTAATGTACTTCCAGATGTTAAAGGCCACTTTCAGAAGGTGTTGCTGCCACCTTGAGAGTAACAAGGTGTTTTGGAAAATAAAAGCAAATCTAAGGGAAAAATAATCAACGTGCACACTTGTTCAGCTTAAAGAATGAAACATATTTATGAAAATTGTGTTCAAATTGTGTTTAGCTAGCAATTCCCTCAAAAAGCTTAGCCACCTCAGAGCAACGAGCAAATGCACCTTTTCCACTCTGGCTGAATTTCCCTTTTCACAGAAAGCCATGATGACTTGGCATATTAAGACATTCATCAGCAAAGGTGGGAGAGAATCTACACCTCACAATGTGATTTAGGCTACAGCTATTTTGCAGCTTCAGTACCAATTTATGGTAAAGCATATAAACTCTTCCACTCAGTTCTCTTTCTGTGTGGATTTCTGGAGGTACACCCATAGATACCTACAGTTAGGCAGGATGAACCGTACACTTAAAATCTGCTAAAAGTTGTGTCTGTTTTCCTCAGGTCCAAAGTGACTGACATGACAGCAACAGCCTGCTGCTGCCACTTTATCCCACACTTTCTTAGGTTTACAACGTCTGTGTAGTCACCTGTGTTTTACCCTACAAAATCCACTCCATAAGGAAAATCTTTAAGCTGTGGTTTGCTAAGATTCTATAGCCTCTACGCATCACCAGATGCATCATGGAAGGCCTGTAGCAGCTTTATGCATGGCATTTGGAGTAGAAAACAACGGCTTGGCTCAGATATGACTATCTGTGTAAAGAAGGAGAACGTGTCTGATCTGGATCAGCTCTGTCAGATTCAGTCAGAAAACTGAAGTGTAAATGAAGCAGAAATACTGTCAGAAAGAGTGTATTATCAGCTTACATACATGCACACACACAAGTTGCTGCCCTGCAAAACGTTCCAGTTTTGACTGATAAGTTGATAGTTTCTTTGCAGTACTTTTAGCATCTCTAGAAAATTTGTAAGGTATACTACAAATGCTACAGTAAAATTGTGCTGTTAACTGTAACTAAACAAAATTTTATGTTTGGCTGCTCTCTGGAGTAGCCACTTCATGTCTTCAAGCGTTAAATTTAAGTAGCTGAATTAAGAATCTAAGTTACCTCCCTACACATTCAGCAGAGCATCCAGACTGCTCTCATCAACCTCTGGAAGTGGACAATACATTGCCTGTATAGGGGACACAGGCTCTAAATTTGATGCTTAAAGTAAATGTTACAGTATACACTAACACATATGTTTACAGACACACAGATGATTAGTTAAATCCTAAAGTCCTGCCAGTGGAAGAGCTAGACAGCTCGACTGATCTGTACTTGAGCAGTTCCATGGCATGAAGGTAAAAGGTAAGAATCCGATTTCCCAAACTGGATGTGGCTTTGTGGGATCTTCAAAATCTGAAAGCCTCTTTTGTCTGGCTCTGCACCAGGTTACCTGATACTGCAGGAAGGCTGGCTCAGTGCGTAAAATCATGAAAAACTGGAGAAATATAAAGCTGTTCAGGAAGGACAAGAACAGAACAGAGCTCATCTATAGTAAATACACTTTCCTTCACACGTCCAGTACAATTTTCCTTACCTTGTGTTTCCAATTTCCCCTGAAGCTAGTGATACTAGCTGAATACTTGGCCCAGTTTTAATAAGTCATCACTTGGTCATACTTTCCTGGAGTAAATTAAACTTTTGTTTCAAGAAGGAAGGACGACAGTAAGTTCAGAGCCATTCCAGTATTATTTTGATTCTGCCTTTGGTTACATGGGGTATGAGGAATCCTCACTGTTCCCACTGCTGTTCCGGAGACACTGGTCCAGCCCAACTACATAGACTCCTTTCCTCATTCCCACCGGTATTTCAGCAGAGCTCTGACTCAGACTTTATGTCTCATATCTTTGACTTTGGAGGCTGGATTCCAAAATGAAGGTTGATAACTTCATATGAAAAATCGGACTTCAAACTTTCCTTCCAGGCTCAGAAAAAAGTGCAATGTCTGTGGATGCAGGAGAACACCATTCCATTCGTGATTGGCATCAGAGTACAAATTCAGTGGGAAAGAAGCTTGGCTCTCAAAACCTAGATTCTATTTTAATTTTATAATTACAGGTGATAAAAACCATGTGAAATAAATAATTTAAAATTCAAATAGTAATACATCTGTAATATATTAGAAATATAGTTTAAAAATTAATTCATATTCTTAATTAGTATAAAGTTTAATTTTATGCTTTGTATAGAAATGGTAGCTTTACTTGTTACCACTGTCTCAGCAGAAGGAAACAGAAAAGTCCCTAAGTAGCTAAATAGGATTGGGAAATTTAAAAATATTTTATTTTGCTTTTTTTTTGGTAATAGAAAAATAGCCTTTAAAAATAAATTGTTAAATATATGGGCTTGTATTAAAGTAGAATTATGTATTATATACAGTAAAGGAGTACATCAAATATTGTTCTACTATTTTTTTTCATGTTTTGTTTGATTGGACTAGGATAGGAATGGGATGCAAAGTCTTCTGTCACATTGAAGTGAAGAAAAAATATATGTAGAAGAATTTGTTATTTTATTGTAATCTGTTGAATCTATTCTCTTTTATATATGATTTGTCATATATAAGAGCTCATTTTTTCTTAAGGATTGAGAAAAAATATAAAGACTTAATCTAGTGTCAGAATGTATTCAGAAGAAAAAACATTGTAGATCAGAATGCTGTTGTGCAATGATTTATCTGATTGAGGAACTTCTGAGATCACTGCGCTGTACTGACTGACCTGTAACAATTTTCAACTTTGTTGAATCTGCAGTATTCCCTCAGGTTTAATCAACTAATAGATTTGCAGAGCTGAATAACTAGTTTACAATGTATTTTTCATGGCAGATAATATCCATTTCCTCATTTCCCTGTGTCAGAAATGTGTTAATATCCAAGGTTTACTTTCATGATTATTACCTCAACCCACAGTTTAGTTTATTCTCTGTATAATGCACACAGAAGGCTAGGCTTTTTTAAGGAACTATTTGCTATGTGGTTTTGCTCTACTGTACATAACTACTAAGTATGTACTGTACTAACTATTAGTTATTTAAAGGAGGGCATAAAAGAAGATGGGTCCATGTACTCTGATCCATTGTTCTCTCTTTTGCACTTGCTTGGAACTGTCAGACAGTAGCTCATATTTTTCTCAGCTTGACTTTGCTGAAGGTTCTGAGACGTTTCCATTGCAGGTTCTTGAGACACAGATGTGTGCTGAATGCGTG